CTCTCAATGTACAGTACTCCTCTCAACGAAGAGTACTAGTCTCAACATAGAGTATTCCTCTCAATATAGTTAGAGTACTCCTCTCAATTTATTTAAGAGTACTCCTCTCAACATAGAGTACTCCTCTCAATGTAGTTAGAGTACTAGTCTCAACATAGAGTACTCCTCTCAATATAGAGTACTCCTCTCAATATAGTTAGAGTACTCCTCTCAATGTAGTTAGAGTACTCCTCTCAATGTAGTTAGAGTACTAGTCTCAACAGAGTACTCCTCTCAGTATAGTCAATGTACAGTACTCCTCTCAACGAAGAGTACTAGTCTCAACATAGAGTATTCCTCTCAATATAGTTAGAGTACTCCTCTCAACATAGAGTACTCCTCTCAATGTAGTTAGAGTACTAGTCTCAACAGAGTACTCCTCTCAGTATAGTTAGAGTACTCCTCTCAATATATTTAAGAGTACTCCTCTCAATATAGTTAGAGTACTCCTCTCAATATAGTTAGAGTACTAGTTGCTGTCTCCTTTTTATAGAGTCAGAGTCACCTTCTCGAGCTTCCATAAGGGGCTTCCAGTCTCCAAGGGCTGCATTAATGAGGCCTTAAAACTGTGAGCAGAGGACAAAGCAAGATTTGAGACATATACTGAATATAATCAGAAGTCATTCTTTATAAAAAAAGTATAACCCTGAAAATTAAAACAATGCAGTAATGGAATGAGGCAGTAATTAGATTTATTCAATATGAATCAACCTGGGTGTGTATTGCAAACTAAAATCAGGCTAAAAAGTTAGGTAATAATGAAATTTGACTACAATTTTACCCTGCTATCTGAAAGGAGAGCATTCCTATGAAATCTTTTATAAGCTGGAACTGGTGACTCTGCTGGTATTTGAATTCCTGGTGGCATAGTTTCCAACACGTAAGCCACCACAGTGTGACATACCGACAGAGCAATTTTTTAGTATCTGCTAATTCAATACTCATGGTGACTTTATAGAACATGACTATCATTCATCAAGAATTTTTGTGCTTTCTGGCACAAAAATGTGTCTCATGATCTTGTATTTTCCCTGCCTCAGACTTGGAACCAGTCATTTCTCCAAGTGTCCCTAGTGACCTGTGTCAAAATGGTATGTAGAGCCTGAGATCTGAATAAATATAAGTATTCGTTGCTATTTGGATGCTGCTTCTCCTAGACTCTTTCAGTAGATTGAACAAGGAAATAAGAACTCATACACACATTAACATCTGTAGTTCCTTATCTACTTACATATGGTGAAACTATGAATTCACATTGCTGTATCTAACTCCAATTCTAAAATCACCCCACTCACTCTGTTTTGGCTCTGACATCTACTGCAAGGTCACCATGTCCCACATGAGTCCCTCCTCATTTCTCCATTCTGACACCATACTTTTAACTCTGTTTGTTCTGAAGCCCACACAGAGCAGATGACTACCATGCTTAGCTCATGCTAGTTGCTTTAGGTGAGATTGTTTAGAAAGGAAAAATAAGAGAAAGTGGATGTGGACAAGTTAAACATTTTAAATGTTACAGTGCTTTTATTGTAGTATACCATTTCAAGAGGTGGCATATGATCAAGAACCAACGGTACTAAAGGAAGAAGTTCAAGCTGAACTGAAAGCATTAGCTAAAAACCAAAGCTCCAGAAATTGATGGAACACCAATTAAAAGGCTTCAGCAGGCTGACGAAGCACTGAAGGCATCCACTCCTCTCTGCCACGATCTTTTGAAGACAGTTACTGGCCCACGGACTGGAAGAGATCCACAGTTATGCCCATTGCAAAGAAAGGCGACCCACCAGAATGCCCAAGTTATAGAACAATATCATTGATATCAGATGCAAGTAAAGTTTTGCTGAAGATCATTCAACAATGTTTGCTGCATTATAACAACAGTTGCAACAGTACACGGTCAGATTTAGAAGAGGAGGTGGAACAAGAGATATCATTGATTATGTCATATGGATTTTGGCTGAATGTACATAATACCAAAAAGATGTTTAATTTGTGTTCTATTGATTATGAAAAGATACTGTGTACAAGGGAAAGGCTACATGGTTTAAAAATCAGGAAAGGTGTGCATCAGGGTTGTATCCTCTCACCATCATCCAAGAAACTACATTATATGTAAAAAAACATGGTATCAGACTTGAAGAAAGACTTATTAATAACTTCTGAAATGCACATGATATAAACTTGCTTGCTGAAAATGAGGAGAACTTGAAGCACTTGCTGATGAAGATCAAGGATTATATATATTATCCAGATCAACACGACTGGACAAATAGGTAGCATTATAATAAATGGAGTAAAGATTGAAGTTGTCAAAGATGTTGTCTTGCTTGAACCCACAATCAATGCTCGTGGAAGTAATGGTCAAGAGATCAAAGGATGTATTACATGGGTAATTCTGATGCATAATACCCCTTTAATGTTTTGGGAAGCCTATATGTTTATTTGAGAAGTAAGGTGCATTTGACCCAAGTCATGGTATTTTCCATTGCCTCATATGCTCGTGCACATTCACTAAGGAAGACCAAAGGAAAACATATGCATTTGAGTTCTAGGGTTTGTGAACAATATGGAAAGTACCATGGCCTGCTCAAAGAACAAACAGACCTGTCTTGGAAGAAGTGCAACCAAAGTGCTTCTTAGAGGTAACGTTGGCAAGACTTTGTCTCATGTACTTTGGACAAATTTCCAGGACTGACTAGCACTTGAAGAAGGACATCATGTTGAGTAAATTAGAAGGGCCATGAAAATGAATTGGCTCAGTGGTTGCAACAATGGGCTTAACCATAAGAACAATTGTGAGGATGGTGTTGGACTAGGTGATGTTTTGTTCTGTTGTACAGAGCGTCATTAAGCATTAGGACTGATCTGATATTACCTAACAATAACATGCTATTGTCTAATTTCTAACTCCAAATGACCTTATATGTGACAGAGCAGAATCCTCATTGGGATTCCTAGGGCACAGTATGGAAGGAGACTGCCAGATCTTTTCTCTTGCTGAGTTAGGTCCAAACCACTAGTTTTTCAGTTAGCAAACTAGGACTGAAACATGTGTCCTAACTTATCTTCTTTCTGCACAAAAGCCCCCTCTACATGTATGCTGCTCTAAAATTGTGCAGTTTCCATTAGATTTTGCATCCTCAATTTTACTGTCCAAGTGATCATATTGCCCAGGTACATTCACCTATTTTACATTTTCATAATTTACACATTGTCTTATGAAATAGTTCACTAATTTTGAAGGCTGGCACTTACATTTCCTTATGCTTTTTCTCCAGTTTGGCATCCCTCATCAATGACTTAGAGCCAGAATGTTCCTAGGAAGCAAGGATGATGAAATTGCATAACACTTACCTGGACGTGTGGTTGGATGGGATCAGGATTTCATGTTTGGTAAAGGTAATGGTCAGCTAAAGAGAGGAAGATGCTATTGAGATGGACCGGCAAGGTAATGATCACAATGGAATGAATCCCAGCCACAGTACAGAGGACGGTGCAGGGCTGGGCATGATTTCATTCTGCCGCACATGGGCTTGCTATATCTTATTACCGACTGATAGTGGTGTTCCTGGGTCTTTTAAAATAGATAACACACTTGGCTGCTAACCCAAAAGTTGGAGGTTCAAATCACCTCAGCAGACATGTCCTGTGACCTACTTCAGGATTTTCAACCATTTCAGCTGCGCAGAGCACAGTTCTATTCTGATACCGAAGGGGTCATCATGGGTTCAAAATGACTCACTGGCAACTGGTTTGGCATGAATTTTAGGAGATAGCACCGCCACATGGCGAAAGGTTTGGTCCACTAGATTTGTCAATAGTAAAACCTGGAACATTTTTGTTTTGGAAAATCTGAGTGGTGAGAGATGGTACCAATTACTGTATCTTTGAAGTAGCAACACAATTTTTCTCCTATGAACAGTGGCCATCTGCTTCAACTTTCTAGATAAAAGAAAAAACTAAAAACCTTGACTGAAATTAAGTAGATATCAGTACAATAAGAAGGCAATCAGGAAACTGGTTTTATTTAAAAATTTTAAATTCAATTTTATTTTTCGAATTATCCTTCCAGCCACAGGACTCATTTAAGATTCTGATTTGTTTCTTGTGATTGAATACTAGATCTATTTAAATTTAGCAAGCAATTAGAGACCATCTAACATGTTGATAGTTAAGTCTTCCTTCTGGAAATATGGTCAAAAATTACAGCTTGTATGTAGAGTTCTGTTTGGATCGATGTTCTGGTAGAGTTTTCTCCTGGATGAGCCTAAAATACATAAATTATACTGTTAACCAGACAACTCCACAAAAATAACATACAGTCAATGAATTTACTTTTTGCTTGAATATTGTAGGAAACAAACTGAAAAGGCTGTGGCCAGGGAAGTAGTTAAGAAGTTTCGCCCTAAATGCCCTTTTTTCTGGAGCAGTGATGAATCTAATTGGGAGCTGTTAGGCCCAGAGTGGTGGCGTGACTGAAAACATCGAGGATCAAAGAGTGCCCCAGCTCATGCTTGCCTAGACTCTACTGAACCATATGAGTCACTAACTCTGCGGAATCCCCAGATAAAGGCTTTGTAATTACATGTGACTATGTGGCAAGAAGTCAAAAAGAACTCTATCTTGATTTCAAATTTCTCAAAGAGAAATGTGCCACACGTTTGGAATTGGGTCAGACTCTTCATGGAGGGTTTCATGGGAAAAGAGCTTACCCCAATTTCAAAGCTATAGGTTTTATATTTTTATTTTCCAAATTATAGTGTGTTTAGAGGACTGTAGCTATTTTATTTTTATTCAAGATCATCTCTCAATCATACAGTTCCTGGGGAGATTCTATCAGAACAATGATTTACTAACAGAGAAAGGAGGAATTTTCGAGTGCAGCTGTTAGTCACTGTGCTGCTAACCCAGCTAACTGAAAGGCAGGTGGTTCAAACCCACCAGTGGCTCTGTGGGAGAAAGCCCTGGTGACCTGCTCTTGTATACTGCAGCCAAGAAAATCCTATCCTTGACCATATTCTGTTGCAATGAGTAGGAATTAGCTAGATGGCACCCAATAATAATCACAATTCCGAAACAGAGGGGAAAAAAGGTGCTGAAAGGGATAGAAAACATCTATGATTGGAAAACACAGTGCGTGTTCATTATGGGAAGATGCGGTATTTATTCATTTGTCAGTTTGCTAAAATGTATTTGGAAACCTATTTTCCTGGCCTTTGCAGACATGTGCTGAGTAGCTGAACTTTTGCATTGCCTGAGGAGCTTGCTGGAGTTGAACAAGGTGATTCTCTGCCTCCTTGTTTCCATGCTCAGCATGCAAGCTAGGGTCCTTTTTAATCATGTTTTTCTCATAGTTATGTTTTTTGTTAGTGATTTCACTATGTAAACATTGTCCACAAGTGTCGTGATGAAGTCCTGCAGGCCAATTTTTCTTAAAAGGTCTGATGTGCCTTAGCGAGAACCTGGCTGTTAGATAAGCATGCTTCCTAGTGCTGTTTGGCCATGAATTCATTCCATGTTAGTGAGTCAGTAATATATGTAAAATAAACTGTCTTTAAAGGGAAACATGATAGTCATGGTTGAACACAATTTAGAAAAATGTCCTTGTAAACATTGAATGGTTTCATTGTAATACACAATGCATGCACCTGGCAGCTGAGTAATTCATATTGTAGGAGGATTATAGCTCAGGGGGAGTTTTGACCCGAGCACACAATTTCTTTGCAAACAGTGATACATCTCAAATAGCAATAGGGCTTTACCTTTGCTGATTCTGTTATGTTTATGAGATTGGTTTTATGATCTAATCATTTATTATATCTGTTATTGGACTAACATATTATAGATTTATTCTATGTTGGGTGAGAGAAAACAGCGAACCTTTTTTTAAGTTGATTTCTTTAAGTTGATCAGATTAAGAAGTTTATGACCCCCAGGAAGGAGAACAGCTCTTTGCTATATGGACTGGTGAGTTTTGTTTTGTGCTCTTTTTATTTTTGGTGTATGTGATTGTGTTTATTTTTGATGTACGTTTGATGTTTAGATACAAATATACAAGCTTTGTCTGTAGGTTTATAATTCAAGAAGTTTTCACTTCTTTTTATATTAAATTATATTTAAAGCCTCCTAAATTAAACAAACCTTGACATGATTGGTCTCTGAAAGTAAGTTGTTTCATAAACTGAATATTCATAAAATTTCCAGAAAATGAGAAAAACATAGCTATTACACTTTCTTTTAAATGTGTTATACTTACAGTTATTCTTATAGAAATCCAGAAACAATTTTAAAATTTAAGTTTATGTAACTAAAGTAAAACGTTTGTAATTGAGAATATTGCAACAAGTTTGGTTTACTATAAAGAGTCTCACGCCTTTTTAATTCATCGGTTTTATGTGTCATACACTGTATACTTGATTCTATTTGGATTTTTTAAAACAAATTTGGTTTTATTAAACTTAGACTTATTATCAATAAATTATTTAACATAACTCCTACAAAGTATTTAAAAATTAAAATGTAAATTTGTGTTAAACTAAATTAGATCATTATTCTGTCAATTTAGTATGTCAGCTTATATTCCCCAGATCTCTATGTAACAAACAACCATAGGTTGATATTAAATTTAGTTATAAAAGGAATAATCCTTTTATATATAGGTCATGTCTTACTAGGACAGAATACTGAAAAAATGATGCTCAGTTGATCATTAGACACACTTGTGATGCTTTTGCTTACACCCCATGGAAAGTTCATATGTTGAAGTTGCTATCAGGTGATATGAAGTTGGTTCTGACTTGTATTAACTCACTCCTTGACTAAGAGAAAGCAGCATTGCCCAGTCTGGAAAAATTCTCAGAATCCTTGCTATATTTGAACACATTGTTTCAGCGACTGTGGAAATTTCATTTTTATGGATCATATTAATGAATGTGTACATTTTTGTCTGTTTAAAAATATTTACTAGTACTGCACATGGTTACAGCATTGTTTACTCTGAGAAATGTTTCAATAACTACTTATTGATTTCTTTTGCTACAGCAATGATTAATGAATTGCATATTAACAGAAATAGCATTTTCATATTAATATAAAAATATTTTGACCTCATGGATCTCTGAAATCTATGATACAAAAAGCAAAATCAAGCACAAAATTTAGATGTGAAATTTATTTGTCTGGGCTCACAGTGCTTGCATCTGAAAGGAAGCTATCAGATGTGCTAAATTTTTAGTAAAATTGGTACAAGCTTTATTGACTTAATTTCTTGGTTTACTGCTAAGTTCATTTGCTTATAAAATGACAAGCTACCTTTTAAGCTCTCTATCTAATCTGCCTCTGGATTCTGTGTTTCCCAAGAATGATTTTCAGTGCTTTACGTTGGTTTACTGTATCCCTAATTATTTAAAAAGAAAAGAAAAGCACAAAAGAAAGCAAGGAACAAAGATTCTTCACATGCAAAAGAGAAAAGGTTCTCTAATTTCATGTTCTGTGCTTATTTTTAAATATTTTATTTAATTAAATGAATGATCATTTAATTAAATATTCAAACAAGTATTATTTCTCTGAGTGGCACTGTGAGCACATATTAATCAAGTGTCTAAATATCCTCTGAAATGGCTTTAAATATCCTGGGAAAGTTCATTTTTATTTTTATTTTCATAATTGTATATTAAATATAGGAACAAATATTTCAAGATGTCTTCAACACTACATGTAAAACAATCTTGGAGGGTTTCCTAAAGGGACCCTGGGTTATGAAGATTCATTTGTTCACCTTTAAAAAGAGGTGCTAGAAATAATTAGGTCTGTGTATCTAATTCCATGGGGGAAGAGTTCCCCACTCAGAAGAGAATTCAATCTTATCTAGGTTAAATTTGTATAGGAATGTTAATAGCTTAAATCTTTCTGAAATCTCATGTTTTATGGGAAGTCCCTGGACTTTAGTCATGGACCTTGCTATCTTATAATATGTCTTTAAACTCTGAACAAGCATAGATTTCAACCAATACTCCCGACAGGTTTTCCTATATGTAGATAAGTATTGACAGTGTTATTAGGCAACAATAATAGACTGTTAACAGTCATAATTTTGGCTACTGTTTAAATTGTCCATTGGCCATGGACGTTCTTTTTTTTTAACTTGAATCTAGTATCTTTTAGGCCAGTGTTTCACATTGGGGAGGAATGGAGATGTAACTGAGATGCTTTTAAAAACACAACTGTCTGATGCTTGCATGAAGCACTTTGTCTCATGTGAAGAAATGGAGGAAATTATGCTAAGCTAAGGTAGTCAATCACAAAGGACAAGTACAACGTGAGTCCACTGAGGTAAGTAGAATCAGCACAGTAGGTGCAGAAGAAAAGCCACCTACCTCACACTTTACAGGTTGAGGTACAGGCAATTGGGCCGGGGACAGACCAAGCCCAAGGATGTAGGATGTACATGTGATTCCAACACAGAGAAGGGGAAAGGGGGGTTCGAAAAGGGAGAAAAGGGAGGGAGATAAATAAGAGGGAGACGATGGCACTGGGGTAGTAGGACACTAATCCACCCAGTGGGAGGGCATTGTTCATGTCTCCACAGAAATTGGAGTGTGAGTACAGACCCCACCATAGTGCGCCAAACCCTGAGGGCAGCATAACCACAAGGAGCAACTCATGAACAGAGAGGTCTACAGGGCTGGCCCCAGTCAGAGCCAAACTGACCCCCCTAGATACATGCGTGCTACAGAGGACCACACTAAACCTGCAGGTTGCGGAAAGGGGCCGGCGTGCCATGTCCACACAGAAGCAAACCAAGAAGGAAAAAGAGAGAGTGAAGGACTAGACCCCAAACTGGCACACCAAGCTTTGAGGATGATGTCCCTGCAGGGAGCTGCTAAGGCACAGAGAGGACCTGTGGTAGACAGCAGTTAAAGGCATGATGTCCCCCTCACTGGAGCATACTGCCTCTGAGGGCAATACTGAGGACACACAAGGTGGGGAGTGTGTCTGGTCTGAACACCCCCACAGTGGGCGAACCAAGAAGGGAACATAACAGATCAGCAAGGGGAGCAGGCCAAAGCCAAGTCACAGCCCCCCTGAGGAGCCCCAGAAGTAAATGTCACGCCAGGAGGGACAGTTCCTAGAACACACCCAGGACTGGTGGGGAGATAGTCGTAAAGGTCAGCGGATAGACCTGGGATTATGTATGTTTTGGGGTTTGTTTCATTTTTTGCTAGTTTCCTTTTTTGTTTTTTCTCTTTTATCTTCAAACTCTTGTTT